GAGATCAGCTTGACCAACATGGTGAAACCCCATTTCAATTAAAAAAACAATTACAACTACATCTCATTATTTTTCTTAAGTCTCTGAGCAAATCTCTGGGTCAACCTTTAACTCACAGATTTTATGTGGCTAGAATCAAAGCAAAACAAACAAAACAAAACAAATTCAATTAAGTGGGAGACAATATTATCTCTTAGAGATGCCAACAATTTTGCTTTTTTTTTTTTTGAGACAGAGTCTTGCTCTGTCACCTAGGCTGGAGTGCAGTGGCACAATCTCTGCTCACCACAATCTCCACCTCCCCGGTTCAACCAATTCTTTGCCTCAGCCTCCCAAGGAGCTGGGATTACAGGCGTCCACCATCATGCCCGGCTAATTTTTGTATTTTTAGTAGCAACAGGGTTTCACCATCTAGGCCAGGCTGGTCTTGAACTCCTGACCTCATGATATACCCACCTCGGACTCCCAAAGTGCTGAGATTACAGGCATGAGCCACCACACCTGGCCTAATTTAGCATTTTTACCATCAGGAGTTGGGAACGAAAACGTTTACCTACCACGTTTCCTTCAAAAAACCTGCATTTCAGTATAACAAATACATTAAATTTTGATTGTGAGGTGCTTACCCTAGCTTTAAAAAAAAATAATATTTAAAAATATATTATTTAGGAGATTTTTCCCCGTTTTAGTACTACAGGGATATTCTTTATAAAAAGAGGTTTTCATAAGGAGGAAAAAATATAAAACTTCATACATCTAAGCCCTATTGTGGAATTTAAGGAATTCAGGAAACTTTCTTTAGTCTGCATAAGAAACTAGCTGGCTAAATAAATAATGGAAACAAAATACTTCAGAAGTATGTTTTATAAATGATAAGATTTTATATTCTCAGATCAGGTGTGACAAAATTTCTACTCAGCAACATTCTGTCCAAGTAATTGTTCATGATGTAGAAATTTAGCAGTCTGCAGATAATAAATATTTTAGTCTCTGATTGATTGACTTGTTGTGTGACTTGGAGCCAGCCATTTGCTATTCTTGTCATCTGAGGTTCCTCACCTCTAAGATGGGAACAATGTTTTCCATCTAACCCTCAGTAATGGGCAGAAAAAGCTGCACATAGTAAAGCAGTTTGATAATCTGAAACATTATATAGCATGAGGTTATACCTTTGATTACTACTACTGCTTTCAAAATGGCTCCTGGTTTTAGCAGCAATTTTTCAGATTAAATTAGTGCAGAGTGGTGAGAAGAAATATTAAAAATATCTTGCTTTTAAGTAGGTAAGAGTGAACCCTCAGATTGCTGATAGGAGTACAATTCTTCCTCCGTTCTGTCCCTTAACTTCCCCTTCTTATGATCAAGAGTTTCTGATGGTCTACTTCTGCCTCCTCTTCCAACTACTTTTTCAGTTCATTTCCTCATCTTTCTCACCCAGATTGTAGAGTACTTCCTATTACTGGCAAAAACTAAAGAATTCCAATGGAGTAAACTTACAGTAGAAATAGTAAAGCCACACAGAAGGACTTAGAATATTTAACTTCATACACATTTTTAAATAAAACATTCAAAACACTAATAAGTAAGAGTTAAACAGTGTTGGGATTGGTAAAGTAAAAGAGCACTCGGGGCGGGAGGAGGCATTAAAAAATAAAAAAGCACTCAATATTAATCTGCGGTCTTGTGACTGCTTAACTATTATTCCTAAGCATGGAATTTGCCTAAAACTGAAAAACAGTTTAATAAAAGTTTGTGATTTCCTATGATGTTACAACTAGAAGAACTAAAAGACAGGAAGACAGCTTTACCAAGGTTGTTGCTGTTTTTAAAATGAACAATGTGTATTTGTGTATGGGATCAGAGGAATGGAGACAGGACAGAGATGGGGAAGCAATAGATTTTTAATTTAAAGAAAATCGAAGAAAAATAACACTGTGAAAGGAATGAAAGTGCATTTAGTGACATTGCAGCTTCAATAAAATGAGAAAAAAGAAAAATAACAAGTAGAGTTTCTAGTCAAGGGTTATAAGGTTCATAGCTTTGGAAATGGAGAAGAAACCAAATTACTTTCCAATATTGCTTCTCCTAAAATGAAAATCTGACAGCTGCAGTCTCTTTCTTATGAATAAGACAAGGGTCATGCCTTACATAACAGCTGCCTAGGACAAAATTTCTATTTTTAGGAAAGCTAGCTTTATACTGTTAACCAAAGGTTTCCAAAGTTGCATTCAAATATAAATGGGTTAAATCAGCTAATATGTTTTACATCTAATAATGACATTCCTACCTTGGACCTAGTTGTGCTCCAACACAGAGGACATCTATGGTTGAACAAACTAGAAGAAAACTTATGACCAAGGCAAGATCATAAGTATTACAGTAAAGGTAAGAAAGAAGTACAGCTGATAAAGAAATGATTGGCTGGGTGCAGTGGCTCACACCTGTAATCCTAGCACTTTGGGAAGCTGAGGCAGAAGGATCATCAGAGGTCAAGAGACCAGCTTGATCTACATAGTGAAACCCCATTTCTACTAAAATACAAAAATTAGCTGTGCATGGTGGTGAGCACCTGTAATCCCAGCTACTCAGGAAGCTGAGGCAGGAGAATTGCTTGAACCCAGGAGACAGAACTTGCAGTAAGCCAAGATCACACCACTGCACTCCAGCCTGGGGGACAGAGCAAGACAACCACTCAAAAAAAAAAAAAAAAAAAAAAAAGAATGATGGAATTTTAGAGCTAGAAATATTAAATATTGCATACTATCAGGAGAAACAGGAACATACTTCAGGCTCTTAAAGAGAAGTGAAAACTAGGAGTAGCAAAATTAAGAATACCTTTGGATTATTTTAGAGAGTAAAATATATGCCTTTTGAAACAATGGTGTGTGATTGGAAACCCAGAAGAAACAAGGAATTTAAAAGTCTTCCATACACTGAAAGGTAGAGAATTAAAATTTGTAGCAAAATAATTAAAATAAAATAAAATAAAATTTATAGCTATCAATGCAGACCAAAATAGTGATGATATCCTGCATAAAAGCCAGCTCTACCATCTCAGGAAGTAATAAAGGAAATCAGTTTATATTTTATATGTATAGGAAAAGCAAGAACATTGCCAGTCAAGCTCAATATATTCTAAGAAAACACACGAATTTAGCTTCTGATGAAAGACATACTGATTCTGACTTTCTGCACTGCATTCCAGAGCAATGCATAACATCATTTTCTAAAGCTGTTAAAAGTTAGCTCAACATGGATCGCAGTTTGATTTGGATAAATCCAGACTCCTTCAGCAATCATGTATCGATTATAATCACTTGGTTAAGTGTGCCATACAAATGGTGTTGAAAGTAGCAAGTTCAATATACATATAGGCAAGTTTAGTATATGTGCTGCCGAAGCGAGCACTACATATGGGCAGCTTTAGAAGCTATGTGCAATAAAATAGTACTCCAATACATGTAGACAGCTACATCAAAATAAACTATGCTGGGACTTAACTGTGAGGCTAACTAGGCAAGGGGCATGAATGAACTCTATAATCATGGCTAGGTAGTATATACAGTGGAAATATACTTTCCTTAACTGTTTTAGTCATTCATGCCTTTATAACTTCTTGTATATGCTTAACACTAGATCCAGGGAAATTGAAAACCTATAATGTATAAGGATTTGATACTTGTTTATTTATCAGTGATAAAATATCTTTTGGGTACGAAAATCAAGTTTCCCTACAGTTCTCAACACAAAGTGGCCTTCATCTGTTTACATTCTAATTATAATTTAATATTAAGATTTGCTCTCTGGACCCCAGTGATTGAACTATATGACTTCTCAGGTGTCTTGCATTGCTATGAGAGGCCACTACTATATTAACTTATTCTGAAATTCTCTTGTCTCAAATTTCTATAAAAGATCAAAACTCACAGTTGTATTAAATCTAGATAAAAAAGATTTCCATGCATCAAGGTGTGAAATTGAAGGTAATAACTATATATTTATTGAAGGTTGCATACAGCCACTGATTTAGTTGGCACATGCAAAGGAAATGCCGTGCCCACTGTCAGTGGAAGTTTCATGCAATAAAGTCTTACCTATGTCCCAGATAAAGTCAATATAATTTGTTTTAAAAATTAGTTCAGGGTTATTTTCACACATGCTATTGTGAAATGATCAGTAGGAGTCCACTGTAATGTTAGAAAGTAGGTTAGTCATATGAATTAAATCAGCAGCTTATTTACACAAGGGTATGCATTCAATTAAATACGTATTGAGGTTATGTTTTAAGTAAATTACTTATGGATCTCATCTAGTTGAAGTTCTAAATTTAATAAATGAAATTACATTATCAACATGCAGACTGAATAACAAAGATGTTGGACATTTATTTAAGATGTAAACATGTTGCAATAATTTGCCTCCAGCTATCTATGCCTTTTCCAATAGCCTCACTTTCTGATAAGAATGTATTTCAATTATGTTTATGACCTGGTCTATTTGGTACTTTGTAGATGAATTGGAAGCAAGAGGTAGGTGAGACTGACAAGCACAAGAAAAAAAAAAAAAAGAAATTTCAACAATGGCTCAAGAGCCATTAGAAATGGAATTTTAGGCTGGGTAGAGTGGCTCATGCTTATAATTTTTGTACTTTAGGAGACTGAAGCAGGAGGATCACTTGAGGCCAGGAGTTTGAGATCAGCCTGGGCAACATAGCAAGACTCTGTCACTCCAAAAAAAAAAAGAAAAAGGAAACGGAATATCAAGGGGCAACATGATATTTTGTAGGATTCTGCAATACACAGGAGTTATTCCCTTATTAAAGTTGGTGAGTTTGTAGCATATTATGCACTGATTGGGCTAACTAGGAGGTCATGTATCAGTGAATTCAATGATCATACTATGAACAAATGCAGATTTAAAACCCAATTAGAGTGTTAAAGGTGATCATTACAGCAAAACATAATAGAGGGGTAGAAATAATGTTAGATGACCAGTTTTATGAGAAAATGTCATTTCAAACAAATTTATTTCCTTGCTTCATGAGAAAGAGCATTCTAAAAGCAGTGTAGCCAGCATACAATCACAATGCTGCAGAACATTGAATAAGCTTTTTAAAAAAATCACAGGGCAGAGAATGAGATGGTAAATTGCTAAAATTGGGAAAGAGAGTCCAACAAAATAGGAATCCAATTTGGTTCCCACAGTGGGGTGATCAGTTTAGGAAGTCCATTCATGATGTTAATTACAACAATGGAATGGAAACATTTCAGTTGATACTAGATATTTTCATATACTTGTTTTGGTAAACTGCAGCAAGTATCACAAATCCCAATAGTCCCCAAAATTAACATTGATGTTTCAAGTTTAGATTGTTAAGAAACCTATTGAGAGACAGATAAATTTGAATTACTGCATACGTTACCATGGATTATTTTGAAGATAATCTGCTATTTATTTTTAAAATATTTCTGAGGGTAGTTTTTATTCTTCAAGTTTACTATGTCATAGGTGGTGATTCAAATAAAAATAAAAGTGACACTTAGATTTTTCAGGCATTCAATAAGTGTAGACTCGAAGAATGAATAGATGAGTGGATGCATAAAGAGCCATAAAGCTTTATCCATTAAATCTGGTGAAGAAATAATTTCTAGTGGGAGCTAAGGCCTAAAATCTAAAACATAATCTCGCAAGGGTGTATTCCTGATAGTATAATACTAGTAAATATCTCATTGAAGCAGCTGAAGCAATAAACAATCACTTATTTATATACTTATATGTATAAGAAACCTTAGGCTCACAAAAATATACATGTTTTAAAACAGAAATCTAAGGCACACAAAATACTAAAACAAGTCAATGAATTACCCTATTTTACATTTCAACAAGCAGAAATCTACTTGTACACGATGGTCTATCAATGGACATTTTTGTTATTTACAATCCCTTCATATTCCTTTACTTGGATTAGTCAAAAGCTCAAATCAGATACTTTGCACCATATATTATTTTAATAAGTTACAATGAGTTTTTCTTTAGAAAGCCTGCTGGAACTGTTTGCTTTTGCACCAAAATTGTAAGTGTTAGCGGTTGTGGTCTTCCTATGGCATTTCCAAGGGAGAAGCACCATTAGGTTTTCCATACTCCCCAGGAATCTGACACTTTGAATGTTATAGCACCTCTGCATTTTAACAGAATCAAGTATTTCATTGAAAGTTCTCCTTGTTCTAAACATGTTGTTTGGGTAATCCTTTTTGTTTTGCAATAAAATGAGTCAACAAAGTAATAGGAAAAAAAATGGGAAGACTAAAATAAATGTAATGCCTGTTTTCCTGTTACCTAGGTCATAGGCAATTATCAGAAAAGACGAGTTATCATTTTCCCAAATCTAATATGCTAAGATAAACAAATGAATTAGCTTTTAATGGACAAAGCCATGTTTATAGTACCATTCCTCTTGTTTGACTTGGGGTTGGGAAGGCATGTGATGATAGTAGGGAATTGGTTTTCAATATATTTCAACAAGATTTTCTTTTCCTAATACTATATTAGACTTCAGTACAAATATCTGTCTACTTAATTTTTGTATTTTATCACCTTGAGATATTAGAAGCATTTGACTCTTTTGAAACTTATCCTGTCCCATCATCTCCTTTTGGAAATACCTCTAATGGATTATAATGAGAAAGGTACGATGAAACTAAACTGAAGTTGTTCAACAAGTCAGAAGAGACCACTCTTACCTAGTTCCAAAGAAAATGTTAATCAATATTGGTGATATGCTTCCTAATTCCATAATTAACAACTTCTCATTATCTAAGTATTTTATATACTGCGACTTGCTAACATTTGAATGTGAAAGGACACAGTAAAAGAACACAAACCATATACATGATTAGAATACATACTGCAATTAACAAGATGGAACTCTACACAGCAAGGATAAATGATTTCTCTTGTATGCAAATATGCACAAACAATAGACAATAGGATTCTTATACTATATTATTTCAAGTTACTTTTAAAAATAGAAAGTGCTTTTAAAATATCTATTTACAATTTATGAACAGCCTCCAACCATTACTAACAACAATGATTTATTTTACACAGGAGAAATATTTTAAGAGAGAAAACATTTCATAAGTTTATTTCAAAAGAATATGCCAATTTTCTAGCAATGATTGGAAGATGTTGGAACAATGGCACCATGAAATAATAATTCAGCTTATTTTTAACTGTGTGGATGTGGTTAAGCACCAGAAGCTGTGTAGAGTTAACACTGTGTGTCTTGATTTTATATCATAAACATGAACCTGTTAAAATCCTCTAAAAATGACTCTTGTTTCATAGTAAACTGACTTAATTGAAAGCACCAAACTGAGTGATTCTACCAAGGTTAATGCCTAACCAAAACATTTCTTTATGTATTTAAAACTATAAAACTTTTATTTTTGCTTAAAATGTGCACCTTCTACCAATTGTCAAAATATAGTCACAGTTAAGAATACCCACCCCGTTTGTTATTATTATTATTATTTTTTTTTACCTCAGACTTGAAATGGGTGAGATGAAGATATAGTAAACGACAACATGACTTTCTTAAAACAGCACCTTGAAAAAATACACTGCACGAGCAAAGGCATTAAGAGGGGGAGAAAAGCCTTCAGACCCAATGGTTATAGGGCCCCGCAACGTGTGTGAGAGCATAAGGGGACACGGTGACAACATTGTCATGAGTTAATGTTAATGCTTTATGAGAAGGAATTTGGTTTAATTCGTTTGCTTCAGAGGACAGTTCCGGACCTTCATTAGCTGCCTGGTCTTTTTGCTCTGAGGCCTTCATTTTCTTATTCTTAGCTTCTTTTGCCTCAAACTTAATCTTGTTTAGTTCAAAACCATGTTGGGGCTTATTTAGGTTTTTGTGCTGGTAAAAGACAAGGGAGAGGCGGGTTGGATGATTACGGTTGGGGTGCTCAACAGGAGTGGTAGCGTGCAGCTCTCGCCGGGCACACTCAATCAAAACCGAGCCGTGGGCAGGTGCGATGGCCACCCCACCAATATTTGCATCCAAAAAGATGTGCTCACTGTCTGACCAGTACTCATCAATGTGGGGCAATTTCTCCTCAGCAGGTGACAAGGGGTCATCAGATAAGGGCTCATCTGATAGAGGCTCATCTGCTTCAGAATGCTGCTCATCTTCTTCCATTGGAGAAGAGGCAAGGTCTTGGGGAGAGGTGAGGAAGGAGGGCTGCTCGTTTGGCTGATGAGACGTTAGCGGCTCAGTCACACCAGTGGGAGGCTCAGAATTAATAAGGGGTTCTGTCACAGGAGCAGACAGGGTGGAGAGAGGAGCAACTTCGCCAAGCTGTGAAATGCCAGGGCCTTCTGCAGCAGCTGCATTGGAACCGCTGAGTCTTCCCAAAGGCATCGTGCAGTGGGGAGTGCTGCTTCTTTCTGAAAACACGCACGAGCCTGTTGCGTCATTCTTCGATGGAGCTGGTGCAACTGATGGAGTCTTCGGGGACCAGGAAAAGCCTGGAGATGCCTCTTTCACTGGGTGAGAAGCAGATGGCATCAGCAAATAGGCTTTAGTGTTGTCTGAACTTTTTAAGATAAAATGGGGATCGGTTTCACTTTTTACTTCAGGTTGCATGGTCTCAGTTTTACTCCCTAAACAGAGGACACCAAAAGTGAAGAAAAATACAAATTACTTTTGGTAGGTGTTGTCTTTTAAAAAGTATTTTCAAAGATAAGTACAAAGAATTATGTAAGAAAACACTGATGTTGTGTTGGTCGGGTTTGTTCTGTTCATTTCAAATCATGCACACATGAATTAAAAATTTATGTAGTTTCGTATACTTTTTCATCTAATAATTTTCCTTAAAGAAATCTTCCTTTGGGAAAGAAGCATAAATAAGTGCAAAAATCTAGCCAAAAGGATGGATACTTATTGTTTGAAATAGTAAAATATTAGAATTGACCTAATTAGGTGTGAAGTAAATAATACAACTATATGTTGTAATATTGTGCAGGTATTATAATACAATGACATACAGCAATATACAACTATTCAAAGAGATATTTAGATACATTTAAGACACTGTATGACCCTTTATTTTAAAAAGTAAAAATAAGTAATAGTTTATAAATATTTCTAGGTAACAAAAGCATCGGAACTGGCAAAGGCCAAGATTAGGCAGAGGGAAGTCAGGCAAAACGTAGTTGAACATAAAACTTCATGACCCTAGGGCCGGGCGCGGTGGCTCAAGCCTGTAATCCCAGCACTGTGGGAGGCCGAGGCGGGTGGATCACGAGGTCAAGAGATCGAGACCATCCTGGCCAACATGGTGAAACCCCGTCTCTACTAAAAATACAAAAAATTAGCTGGGCATGGTGGCGTGTGCCTATAATCCCAGCGACTCAGGAGGCTGAGGCAGGAGAATTGCCTGAACCCAGGAGGCGGAGGTTGCGGTGAGCCGAGATCGCGCCATTGCACTCCAGCCTGGGTAACAAGAGCGAAACTCCCCTCAAAAACTTAGTTTCCTTCTCACTAAGGAGGTAGATCATTACTCTCAAGATGTCAAGTATGTGTTATTTTGCTCTGACATATCCACAAAAATCTCACATGAAACAGAAACATTTTCCTTGGAGACATTCTCCCTATTACGAAGTTCTTCTTCTTTTATTTATTTACTTATTTTGGGATGAAGTCTCACTCTTTTTGCCCATGCTGGAGAGCAATGGCTCAATCTCCGCTCACTGCAGCCTCCGCCTCCTGAGTTCAAGCAATTCTCCTGCCTCAGCCTCCCGAGTAGCTGGGATTACAGGCGCTTGCCACCACACCCAGCTAATTTTTTGTATTTTTAGTAGAGATGGGGTTTCACCATGTTGGTCAGGCTGGTCTCGAACTCCTAACCTCAGGCAATACACTCGCCTCAGCCTCCCAAAGTGCTGAGGTTACAGGCATGAGCCACCACACCTGGCCTCTTCTTATTTTTTTGAGATGGAATCTCACTCTGTTACCAGCCTGGAGTGCAGTGGCACAATCTCGGCTCACTGCAATCTCCGCCTCCCAGGTTCAAGCGACTCCCCTGGCTCTACAGGTGCACACCACCACGTCCAGCTAATTTTTTGTATTTTAGCAGAGACGGGGTTTCACCACGTTGACCAGGATGGTCAACTCCTGACCTTGAGATCTGCCTGCCTCAGCTTCCCAAAGTGCTGGGATTACAGGCCTGAGCCTCTGTGCCTGGCCCCTGTTATAAAAAAATCTTTGGAAGTGGAAAACCAGCAAGTCTTAGGACCAAGAAAAGGTAAAGCAGCCATGTTTTAAAGTAATTAAAAATATAATAAATATTGATTAATTTCATTATTTTAAGAGACGGGGTTTTGCTATGCTGCCCGGGCTGGAGTGCAGTGGCTACTCACAGGCGAGATTCCACACTGATCAGCATGGGAGTTTTGACCTCCTCTCTTTCTGACCTGGGATGGTTCACCCCTCCTTAGGCAACCTGGTGGTCCCCCACTCCCAGGAGGTCACCATAATGATGCCAAACTTAGTGCAGACACCGGATTGGCATAGTGCACTACAGCCCAAAACTCCTAGGCTCAAATGATTCCCCCACCTCAGCCTCCCTAATAGCTGAGACTACAGGCACATGCCACCTGGAACATTGATTACTTTCAGAAGCTCTGCAGTTCTCCTCTCAGATTCTACAACCTGGAGCCACAGGAGCTCTCATTTCTAAAGATAAAGCACATATAAGACCCAGCAATGATACTTCAGGAAACCTCTGCTGTTATCAGTGGTAATATTATTATAGAAGTTAGGTTATACACAGAAGGTAAATGATGGGAAGAAAAGACTAAATGATCGAGGGGTAGAATTACAAAAGAAAAGGATTTTATGGGCCAAGTATTGTATATATGCTTACAAATATCTGGGAATATACTATAAGAAAATAGCTGGACTGTGAGCCCTATACAACATAGGAAAACCCTGTCTCTATTTAAAAAAGAAAATAGCTAAAAGATGACCTCCAAAAATGACCTGCATTTTTTTTTTTTTTTTTTTGAGACGGAGTTTCGCTCTTGTTACCCAGGCTGGAGTGCAATGGCGCGATCTTGGCTCACCGCAACCTCCGCCTCCTGGGTTCAGGCAATTCTCCTTCCTCAGCCTCCTGAGTAGCTGGGATTACAGGCACGCACCACCATGCCCAGCTAAGTTTTTGTATTTTTAGTAGAGACGGGGTTTCACCATGTTGACCAGGATGGTCTCGATCTGTTGACCTCGTGATCCACCCGCCTTGGCCTCCCAAAGTGCTGGGATTACAGGATTGAGCCACCGCGCCCGGCCCCATGACCTGCATTTTAACCAGCATTTAGTCAGGATACTGTTGGGAAATGACAGAAGGATAAAAATGATCAATTGGCCTTTAGAACAGCATGGAACCAGATAGGTGACTCATAAAATTATCTAAGTTATCTGAAAATGGAGCTATAAGCAAGAAGGAAATCATTCTCCCCCACATTTCTCCTCAATATTTCTCTGCATTACATTTTTTTTTTTTTTTGAGATGGAGTTTTGCTCTTGTTGCCCAGGCTGGAGTGCAATGGCACTATCTCAGCTCCCTGCAACCTCTGCCTCCCAGTAGCTGGGATTAGAGGTGCCCACGACTACGCCCAGCTAATTCTTGTATTTTGAGTAGAGACGGGGTTTCACAATGTTGGCCAGGCTGGTCTTGAACTTCTGACCTCAGGTGATCCACCCGCCTCAGCCTCCCAAAGTGCTGGGATCATAGGCCTGAGTCACTTTGTCCTGTTGTATTACATTTTTTTCAGCATTATATAAATACTTGCACTGTAATTCTACTCGTGTTATAAAAAGAACCTCTCATAAATATAAAAAATTAAAGAAGGTAAGGAATATAGTATAAAGTTAATTTTAAATGTCAGTATAAATTCATGATTTTTTTTTCTTCAAAGAAATGGTTGACTTTAAATATGGGGCAGAACTATATAAGATGAGCCTGAAACAACTTGTTATAGAAGTTAGGAAAACTATCAAAGACAACTGGAGTTGTGACAAAAGAAATGAGAAGCCGGCTGGGCGTGGTGGCTCACACCTGTAATCCCAGCACTTTGGGAGGCTGAAGCCGGTGGATCACGTGAGGTTAGGAGTTCAAGACCTGACTGGCCAACATGGTGAAACTCTGTCTCAACTGAAAATACAAAAATTAGCCAGATGTGGTGGTAAGCGCCTGTAACCCCAGCTACTCGGGAGGCTGAGGCCTCCTGGCTTGAACCCAAGAGGCGGATATTGCAGTGACCTGAGATGGTGCCACTGTACTCCTTCCTGCCTGGGTGACAGAGTAAGATTCTATCTCAAAAAAAAAAAAAAAAAAAAAAAAAATTAGGCGAAAACCTGGGCGTGGTGACTCACAGCTGTAATCCCAGCATTTTGGGAGGCCAAGGTGGTGGATCACAGGGTCAGTTTGAGAACAACCTGGCCAACATGGTGAAACCCCATCTCTACTAAAAATACAAAAATTAGCCAGGTGTGGCAGCATATGCCTGTAGTCCCAGCTACTCGGGAGGCTAAGGCAGGAGAATTGCTTGAACCCAGGAGGCAGAGGTTGCAGTGAGCCAAGATCACACCACTGCATTCCAGCCTGGGCAACAGAGCAAGACTCTGTCACCAAAAAAAAAAAAAAAAAAAAAAAAAGGTGAAAAGCTGATAAGAGCCAGTCGTAGTGGTGTACACCTATAGTCCTAGGTAGTAGAGAGGCTCCTGTGGGAATATAATTTGATCTCAGGAGTTTGAGGCAGCAATGTGCTATGATTGTACTTGTGAATAGCCATTGTACTCGAGCCTTGGCAACACAGCAAGTCTCTGTCACTTAAAAATACCCGAAAAACTAACGAGCCTTCATAACAAATGAAGCTAGGTGTGATGGCTGATGTCTGTAATTCTACCGCTTTGGGAAGATCATTTGAGTCCAGGAGTTCAGATCAGTCTGGGAAACATGGTGAAACCCTATCTCTACAAAAAATACAATAATTAGCTAGGCACGGTGGCACACGCACTACAGTCCCAGCTTCTTGGGAGGCTGAGGTGGGAGGATTGTTTGAGCCTGGAAGGTTGAGGCTACAGTGAGCCATGACCATGCCACTGCACTGCAGCCTAGGCAACAGAGCAAGACCTTGTCTAAACAAACAAACACAACAACCCACAGTCCACAATACCACTGTTAAAGTGGTGCTTAGTTCTATTAGTTTACTGATTACTTAAACTGATGGTAAAGGTGATCAAGGAAGGCATCCATGAAGTCATGTCCATTATCTATGCCAAGAACAATGTGTAGGGCTTCAAATTAGATGGGGCAATTCATAGGAACAACAATAAGAATATGTTAAAATAAAAAATAAAAGGCCAGGCGTGGTGGCTCACGCCTATAATCCAAGCACTTTGGAGGCCAAGGTGGGTGGATCACCTGAGGTTGGGAGTTGAAGACCAGCCTGACCAACATGGTGAAACCCCATCTATAAAATAATAAATAAATAAAAATAAAAAATAAATTAAAATAAGCTGGGCACAGTGGTGTGTGCCTGTAATTCCAGCTACTCCAGAGGAGGCTGAGGTGGGATGATAGCTTAAGCCCAGGTGTGCCAAGCCAGCCTGGGCAACAAAGTGAGACCCCTCCTCATGCCAAAAAAAGAATATACTAAAATATAAAAAAGGATAAGTAGAAAAAATTACAAAGAAACACTGATGGGGCACTTTTTTGTTGACTTTTGGTTCTGGCATATGTAAAAATATATTCAGTGCCTTAGTTTTAACTCTAAACAAACTATAATAATACATCTGCTTTAAATATTTTCTTTTCATAATGCCTCGTGCCTACAAAGATAAATAAGATGGCTACAAAGATAAATAATGTGCAAGGGAAAGAAAGTCCAAACACCGTATCAATCACAGTTGTGCGGAGACTAGCAAGTTCCACAGGGCTCACCTAAGGTTGGCAGTGATGAAGCCTTACTGTTGTTTGTTATTGTTGAGTTATTCTTCCGCTTGATTCGGGGAATAGGTTTCTTCTCCACTGCCCTTATCTTATGTGCAAGAACCTCGGTCATCATCGCAGCCCTCTTCTTCCCAGAACGGGGAACAGGCTGAGTGAAACAAGTTCTTTTTTTGCGGCGGGGTGCCAGGACCTCAATGGCCCCAGATTTGATCTTGGCTTCCATTCCTTCCTTGGAGCCAAACTCATCTGTGTCTGAAAGTTTATAAAGAGGTAGGACATGGAGCTGCTCATCTTGAGGAATAACACCCAAAGACCGGTTATCTTCTCTAGTTAAAGTACAAACCTGATAGGGAGAAAAACATGAAACGGGAAAGATATATGGGTCGTGCACATTCATTGTGGCTAATTCCTATCTTCATTTTCTTGCATTTGGGAAAGAGATTTATATTCCCATTTTACTTTCAATTGGTTGACGATGGTATATTATTATTTTATATCAAGCCACCCAACTCTGTCCAATCATAGTAACTTCCCAGTTGTTTGTAAGCAGGCCAGAGTAATATTTAGTTGATTTTCTAAGTAAATTATTACAAATTTTTTAAATTTTATATTGATAAATATTCTGTTTCTGTTCCATTATTGCTCTATTCCAATAAGGAGCCATATCAATAAATATCAATAAATTTGCCTTTCTATGGATATGAAATATTAATAGTGTATAGCCAAAATTTTTAAATCTTAAATGCACCTATTTTAGCTCTCCTCTTTACTTTAAAAGTTATATTTATTATAGATAAATGAAAATATAGAACTATAGATACTATAGTGATTCCTGACTTTGGATACCTAATATTAATATATTCTGCTTTTAAAACTAGTATTTTAGTTGTAATTAATTTTCCTTTTTTTTTTTTTTTTTTTGGATACAGAGTTTGACTCTGTTTCCCAGGGTGCAGTGGTGTGATCTGGGCTCACTGCAACAATCACCTCCTGGGTTCAAGCGATTCTCCTGCCTCAGCCTCCAGAATAGCTGGGATTACAGGCATGTGACGCCGCACCCAGCTAATTTTTGTATTTTTAGCAGAGACAGGGTCTCACCATGTTGGCCAGGCTGGTCTTGAACGCCTGATCTCAAGTGATCCGCCTGTCTCAGCCTCCCAAAGTGCTGGGATTACAGGTGTGAGCCACTGGGCCCGGCCAAATTAATTTTCAAATATTAAAAACCCACCAGAAACCTATCAAATGTTTTCTTTATTTCATATTAAAAACATATATCAAAGAGATATAAACTCTTTCAATGATAGCAAAGACTGGAGATTAATGAAATAAACAGATTTTTTCTTTTTTCTTTTTTTTTTTTTTTGAGACTGAGTCTTGTTCTGTTACCAGGCACCAGGCTGGAGTGCAGTGGCGCAATCTCGGCTCACTGCAATCTCCAACTCCTGAGTTCAAGCAACTCTCCTGCCTCAGCCTCCCGAGTAGCTGGGACTACAGGTGCATGCCACCACGTCCAGCTAATTTTTGTACTTTTTAGTAGAGACGCGTTTTCACCATGTTGGCCAGGATGGTCTTGCTGTCTTGACCTCATGATCCACCTGCCTTGGCCTCCGAAAGTGCTGAGGTTACAGACATGAGCCGCTGCGCCTGGCATAGATTTGATGTTCATAGCATTTTTGGATTCATGATAGAACTTGATAGATACCAATGGTAATGCAAAGTTAAAGAGCTAAAGGTTAAAAAAAATTCAGTTTTTTTCCCAATATCTGAAGTCACATTTTTCAAAAAATCCTAAAATGTAAATATACGTTTCAGCCTCAAACTCCTGGGTTTGAGTGATTCTCTTGCCTCAGTCTTCTGAGTAGCTGGGAATACAGGTGAGTGCCATCATGCCTAGCTAATTTTTAAATTTATTTATTTATTTTTTTTGGTAGAGACAGGTTCTCAGAAAGCTGCCTAAGCTACATTAAAGATTCTGGGCTCAAGCAATCCTTCCACTTTACTGTCCCAAAGTGCTGGAATTATAGGCATGAGCCATGGTGCCTGGCCAAAACCTGAAATAATAAATTGTCAGGGTGGTAATCTGTTCATAATTTAAAATAGTCATGTGGCCGGGTGCAGTAGCTCACGCCTGTAATCCCACCACTTTGGGAGGCTGAGGACGGCAGATCACTTGAGGTCAGGAGTTCAAGACCAGCCTGGCCAACATGGAGAAACCCCATTTCTACTAAAAATACAAAAATTAGCCTGCTGCAGTGGTGTATGCCTGTAATACCAACTACCTGGGGGGCGCTGAGGCAGGAGAATCGTGTGAACCTGGGAGGCAGATGTTGCAGTGAGCCAAGATTGCACCATTGCACTCCAGCCTGGGCAAAAAAAGCGAAACTCCAGCTACAAAAAAAAAAAAAAGGCATGTTGAAAATCAGAATCTCACATCAATAAATGTTGACTGGAACCAATTTAATTGGCCACAGAGAGACTAAGAAGGAAATAAGGAGCTGATGTGAGGAGTATAATTAGAAAGGATAGTTACCGTAGGAGCAGAAAGTAAACCAATAAAGAAAAGGAAAAAGAAAAAAAAAAAAAAAAAAAAAGAAAGTATGGTAAATCAGGGTCAAAGGAGAGGTGGTAGGAGAATTTCAAGAATTCTCATCATTTTTGAAGATGGGGGAATTTGGAGTGATGTCAAGTTCCCAATAAGACTCTCATCTTGTGAGTAATCAGAGCAGTGGAAGTCAAAGAACACAGAGAAGAGAAACTGAAACTTAGTCTGACTGTGAACGGACTCCAGCCTAATCACAGATATTCTGTAATGCAAGTAAAATGTCCTGGCCAAGTGATGGTGATGAACCACCACCTGGCTAGTATTCACCAGGCTGGATTTACATAACTTCAACACTTGGAAATAACATTGGCTTCAAAGACTGTACAAAACATTTTTGTATACAGGAATGACATGCAAAAAAAAGGTTATTTTGGCTTAATCTATCACCAATATACTTTTTTTTTTTTTTTTTAATGCAGCAGTGCTGGATAGTTCCCTGTCTCTGGTACCCTATCCAGCGGTGGGGAGGGGTGTGTGTGTGTGACAGATTTTCACCAAAAGCCCACAAGGATTTCTATGTAGTGAGAGGTGTAGTAGGAAGGTGAAGCATAAGGGATGGTGGCAAGAATGATGAGGTGACCTGCTTGAGTCTGTATGATCAAGGAGGGGCTCTGCAGGGCTGACCAGGGAGGCGGCGCCAGGCCGGGAGGTCTCCCAGTGCCGCAGAGAGTGGTGGTTTCACATCTCGCTTCCTTCCACCCCTCAGGGACGAGTATTTCCGCATGAAGCTGCAGTGGAAATCTGTGAGCCCTGAGCAGGAGCAGAGAAACTCACTCCTGCACGGATATCACAGCCTCATCGGTCGGTGTCAGGGGTGGCACTCAGGGTGGATGGGAGCAGGGAACAGCAGGAGGGCCTCGGGCACCGATGCGAGGGGGAAGTACAGGGAGCCCCCTGCCTCCCAAGACCAGGGAGCAGGCACCTGGGAGGGAAGCTGCAGGGACTGTGGGAGAGTGGCCCCAGCGAGCAAGGCTCGTGAAGGGACGGGGAAAAAGAGGACCTGGCTGCCTTGGGCCCAGTCTCAGCTCTGTCAATGATGCCTCATGATCTTGGCAAGTGACTTTGCTTCCCTGGGCTACAGTTTCCCCCACTGTGGGAGGATATAGCCAGCTGGTGAGCGGGAGGCCTGGCGCCTCAAAGCAGGAGCATCAGTGATGGTTTCTAGAACCATCAGTGATAGCCACCTCTGTGAACTTGATGGACAAATGCCTTTTCCAGTGAACCATGGCGCCAGTTCAGAGGACACCCTGCTGCAGGATGCTGCCAGGTCTGCAGAGAATTCACCGAGCGTGAGCAAGGAGAGGTCTGTTTCTCTGCCGTGGCTCTCTGCAAGGCAGCCTAATGCTTTGTGGGAGGGACTTTGCTGTTTTCACTTCTTCCCTTCAATGTGAAAATATATACCTCCCCATGCAGTCTAAAATGCTTTAGTACTTGTGAAACACAGCTGTCCTCCTTCCATCCTGCAGACATGCCTTCCCCTCAGCCACACCCAAGCACAAGCAGAGAGTGCACAGCTGTCCACTGGGCCAGTGTGGTGTGAGCTTCAGATGGCGAAGCATTCTCCCTAGTGTATGTCTTGTACCCTATATCTAATGCTTTCAATGGCTACTTTGGTTTCTGTTCATAAGTTAAGACCTTGGATGTGGTTTGTTTGTCCTTAAAAGGAATAAAACTTTTCTGCTGATAAGAGATAGCCACAAAAAAAAAAAGACCAAGCAAGGAAGAAAGACTGCCTGTTGAAAGATCTGATCATATATTTTTGATCACACTGTAAGAGGCTTTAGCTAAATCCTGAAAAAAAAATTTTTTTAATTGTATATTTTAAAGAGATGGGGTCTTGTCGCCCAGGCTGGTCTAGAACTCCCAGGCTCAAGCAATTCTCCTGTCTTGGCCTCCTAAGTAGGTGGGATAACAGGCCTGAGCCAACATACTCATCCTGCAGTCAAGACAATGAAGATTTCAAAATGATCTGGCAAGCCTAAAAAACTGGTGCAACAGAAATACAAAAGCAGGCCGGGCGCGGTGGCTCAAGCCTGTAATCCCAGCACTTTGGGAGGCCGAGGCGGGTGGATCACGAGGTCAAGAGATCGAGACCATCTTGGTCAACATGGTGAAATCCCGTCTCTACTAAAAATACAAAAACATTAGCTGGGCATGGTGGCGCGTGCCTGTAATCCCAGCTACTCAGGAGGCTGAGGCAGGAGAATTGCCTGAACCCAGGAGGCGGAGGTTGCGGTGAGCCAAGATCGTGCCATTGCACTCCAGCCTGGGTAGAATGAGTGAAACTCCGTCTCAATTAAAAAAAAAAAAAAAAAAAAAAAAAGAAATACAAAACCAATTGCTCTCTATTTATCTCTGCTTTACTAGATGACAGGAAAACAATTAGATGAAGCAAGCAGACAAAAAGACTATTGGACGATTTTCCACTGGGTATTCTGCCTAATTTACATATCTCTTGATTGACTTCAGG